CATGCTCAACTGGACGGAATTCAAACCACAGCTTGACTCCCGGACTGAGTGTGTTACTGGCATCACTACCGCACCACTCCTCCCTCAGTTCCTCATGTCTTGGCTGAGAGCCATATCTCAAAAAATGAAAAAAATAACACTTTCAACCACACGGCTGACTTACAAGAGGGAAAAAATTGGGAAAACTTAGGGAGGATCTACGAGCGCGACCCTCGGAACAATGACTTTTTGAAACATTACATCCTGGTGTAAGTGTACCATCAGAAACCCTGCTGTGGAGTACCAGCAGATTAAACGGAATTATGGAACTTCAGGAGCACAAAGTGAGGTGGAATTGATGAACTGACAATAACTCATATACGCCTATCACGCGCGCGATCCACGAATCAAATAACAGATCGGCTGCCACCTCTACCACCGCCAGTCAAGCCTTCTGTCCCCGGAGACGGTAAGTTGGAACCGAATTCGTCTAGCTGGACAAAGAACCTAGAAGTGCGCACTGTCTGACCTCCGCAAAGCATTGTATAAGCCATATGGCATTCACTAAACCACTACGATTTTGAATGGAAGTAGATGCGCACCGCACTCCAAAAAGTGATTGACCACCGGCGAAAGCCTTATCCTTAATCCTTTATGAAGACAAGCTGCAGTAGTTGGCTGTTATGATCTTTAAATAAACTCACAGGCTTATTAGAATCTGCCAAAAGTGATCTTTCTAGGAGTTGCACATACTTCTCTCCTTCTTCAACATTGTCGTCCGCTGGCCGTTTTAATGAAGCGTAGCTCTTCCATGCCTGAATAAGGGCCCACTTTACTTTAGAACGAAAACAAACCGACAATTATCAGCAGACAGTCAAATGGCACCTCATTTTGACTTGGCACCTTCCTTCCTTTTTTTAACATGAATATTCGACAATTCTCAAAAGCATTACTCCGGGTTCAACAAGATACTATGAGAACTCACCCTTTCGGGTAGAAGGATAGAATGAAGAAGCCCTGGTCCGTACGTGGTACAGAAATTGTGCATCAAAAATAGGAAGTCCCCTGCGTGGTATTTTGAGTGCATGCTAGCCATACAGAACGCAAATTTCATAAGTTTCAATTTCCATGGGTTGAACCCTATATGAAGGCACGGCCTGCACTATTCGTGTAGGCGGAGACAGTCAACAATTTCTGTTTTTCCTTATTGGTACGCCCTCTAAGAGTAAGTGACATCACTGAGAAAAGGTAAATGGTTGCTTGTCTCCGCGCATAACGACCAGCTTGGACTGTAATTGAATATAAAATGGTTACTGTCTCGCCCATACGACCAGCCTGGACTGTAACCTTGAATAAAACTATGATAAACAAGCAAACTGCAAGATACAGAAGAATGAGCATATATCACGATATAACTTGAGTAGTCGACAGAACGCTATATTTCATCAAAAAAAGCTGAAGGCTCCAGCAATTTTTGTATTTTTTTTTCCCCATTGCAATCTGCGACTGCGTGACGCTACACGCGAAAAAAGCAGAATCAGGGCCTGCTGACTTTCGAGTTTCATGTCAGAGCTCACCTTCGACGATAGTACGTTTGTACAGCACTTAGCCGTCCGAATAGCTTGACCAGTTCTGATTTCAAATTGCCGGCTTGCACTGTGGATTGTTCATCTTTTGCCTAGATGGTTTTTAGTCAAGCAAAGGTTTTTAGTCAGTTTAGGGTCAGAAGAAAAGGTGTATAAGTTGAAGCCAAAGGAAGTACCTCTTTTACCATGCGCAACACGTTCGACGCCATTATCTCCAAGACTTCATCATCCTTTTGCTGCTTATTCAGATCGAGCAACCTATGGAACGCTTTGATGGCCTAGAACGTATTATGTTGAATTCCCAACCATGAGAAGAAAAAATGACGTTAGAAAGATAATGCATTCTGCTAGATCAACCCTTCATCGAGATGCGCCACGCATCCAACTTTCGTTCAAAACCACAACGGTCTCTTGAATGCGACTCGACTCTAAGGGGGTCATCCGATAGACAAATCAGCGCTTCTATTCTCCCAGACCAAAGGGCAGATTTCAAAAAAAGAAAAACACACCTGATCAAACTCGGCTGTGTCGACGCATAGAAGTAGGTAATTCTCCCAAACTTTTGGATGTTCAAAGTTAAACTTCAAGGCTTCCTGAAATACTACTGTATTTTTAAAGCTCAAACAATTACAACACAGAAATGACAAAGAAAATAACGAATGTAGAAGAAAAAAACATGAATTACGGTTTAATAATACCACACCTGGAGAATTTTCCTTGCTCTCTCTTTCTGCCCTAGTTTGATATAAGCTGCCGACAAATTGTTCCAGGCCTCGAAATGCTCAGGCTCTAAGCTCACCTGAAACATGATAAAAGTTGCTTCTTGGCAGCCTCTTTGTCTACCCTGCCATAAAAGCAGAAGAATGTAGAAGAAAGGCATCCATTGCAAAGCTGTAGAAGAGATATCCTACAAATGGCTAGGTTTAAAAAGGACCTGACTGGGAATCTGTTATTCCAGTAATACTGCAATGCTAACAGCTCAACGGTTCCACAGAACAAAAGAGAAGGGGCAGAGAAAACAAGCTGGATGAACTCACACATCGGTGAAAACAGGTGACCGCATCAGCATAGTGTTCCACTTTCCATGCGCAGTATCCTGCATTGAACCAGACACCCAGCTGAAACATTCTATCGATTTTAGCAAAAATCGCGACACAATTACTGTAAGGAAAAGACAAGGATGTGCCGGAATGCAAATCAGTCCGTACGACCCCTGGTACCGACCCGACTCACTAGTTCCCTCTTTTGGCTCCGACAAGAGTTGTGGGCTGTCGACAGCGGGAGTAGGAGTAGGTAAGGGTACAGTACAAAGGGAACAGGAAACAACAGCGAAAATCAGCATCCTCCCTTAACACGTTTTGGCGACATTGTCGTCCACTGCTGGGACGCACCTTTTGCCGCGCTTGGACTTGCCGTTCCCACTGCTGGGATGCGGGCCATGGGTTAAAAAACCTAGTTAAAAACCTTTTAAAATTTTTCAACAGTTACATATTGTATAGGGAGGCATTGTAGAATATACAGTAGGTGCAAAACAAGCAGTTGTGTCATTGGGAGTATTTTACGGAGGATACAAAGGAAAGTGATTTCCTTAGGAAAAAAGGTAATTTTTGGATAAATAGAACTGAAGCTCCACATGTAGATAGCTAACGTGATAAGGTAACTTTCAGCAATAGCAGATCTGAATCGAATCCAATTTACCGCCTCTGGCGCCAAAAAATTCCTTTTTTTGGCCTCTTTCCCACGCTCCGCGTGTATGGGGCGGAGTATCCCACGCGAAAATTTGTACGTTCATTCATTGAAAGTTAAACCAAAACAAGAAAGTTTTACTAGCTTCTGCATTGAATTACTAGTCCTTCTGCAAGTGTTTTGGTGTGTAAACGCCCTAGCATTCATGCGCATTCCTCAAAAATAGGGAAAAATTGCTTCGTCCCACGCGGCAGACACGCGAAAAGGCGCCTTGTCGCCAATGTGTTAAAAGGTCAGAAAGCGGAAATACGACCCCTTTCCCGAAACAACCACTGAATACAACCCCCTCTCTGCAGTGACCGAATAAAGACCGCCTCCCATTGTTTTCGAACATGATTTGCCTGTCGGAATCAACTGAACGATCGAAACTTGTACGCACAGAATGCTCAGTTATAGGACAAGTCTCAATCCCAAGTGGTCGAGACTGACCCTTCCATGACGGATATTGGAACTTTCGGAATGCGAACCGACAGCCGGGTCAAGGAGAAACTGTACACTCGCCTTCGAGGACGTTATCGCCATGTTGAAGGTAAATGGGTCGCAGCTGCGGTAGCGTGCCACTTTCTCCGCTCAAAAATGTACGGAAACGGGGCAGTAGGGCTCTGGCACCCGAGTGCCGTCTCCATATTTCGCCGGCGCTATTCTGAAGGTGAGGCACTTGTGTCGATATCAAAATCCCGCAGCGAGCACATAGTCAGAGGTAGAAAACAACCACAGTGAGACAGCACTGACAAGCAGCGCGTTTGGCTATGGTTAGGCGTGTGGCCGGTCACGCGGTAGCGCGGGCAGAGTACGCTACTGAAGCAGCGGAGTCATTCTCCCCACACAGTTCCACAAGGTTCACGATCCACAAAGGTGAACGTACAGTTTGTCTTTAAACAGCAGTAATCATACTAAAACAACGACCAAAACTTCGTTCGTTTTCGATAGCGCTTCCAGTGGCGCTCAGTATTTTCATTGAAAAAGAATTGTGGAAGAAAGTACAGCGAAAGAAAGATGTGCCCTTCGAGCCACATGTATAAACACATAGGCGCATGGTGGCGTAAATCTACACAATTAGCAAGAATTGGTGTCAGTTAGTAACCCAAGCAATAACTGTAAGTAAATTCCACTGTGACTATTTAGGCGGAGTCATCTGGATCATTACGCCCATCTTGTTGGTGAGTACTCCCTTCTAATAGTAGGGTGGCGGAAAAGGGAGGGGCGGGTACAACTGGTGCAGACTCCGATTATACGATCAGCGTGAAAAATTCCTTCCTGCACAAACGAAAATTGTAAACACCTGTATCGGTTGTAACTCCAAACTCCTTCGTAGATGTTCGTATGCAGACTCGTACTGCTTCCGAAGAACCATCAGATTGCCCAGCGATTTTCTTGCGCGAGCATTTCGATCGTTGGACATCTGAAAATTACGAATTTTTTCTTCTTTCAATAATTTCTTACCATCTGAATGTCTATGTATATTACACCCTTTCCTAGATGTTCCCTACAGAGTGACGTAACAGTAACCTTATTCAGCTATAACCTTTCGTTTTTATAGAATGGGAGCTCACGACAGCCCATCTATCTTTGGAGCAACAAGCTGTTTGAAGGCAACCTGAACACTCACTTCCGATGATCCTCGTCGTTGTCATGTGCGAGGTTAATGGATCAACAGCAACGGTAGCATGCCTTTTCCATCAGTCAAAAAAAAGCACAGGAACGGGGCTGGTTGGTAGTGATATACGCTTGCCGTCTCCATACTCCGCCCTGCCGCACGGACAACCTTACGCCTATCCATAGCCAGATGCGCTGCTTATCTGCGCCTTCTAACTTCCGGTTGTCCTCCACCCCTGACTGTGTGTTCGCTGCGAAATTTTAGTATCGACGCAATTACCGCACCCTAAGAATAGCGCGCGTAGTGTATGGAGACCTAAGGAGACGACACTCGAGTACCACTACCGCACAGCTCCGTCCCCGTGCTTTTTTTGAGCGGAGAAAGAGGCGCATCCGTGTAAGTGCGGACCTATTCGTCGCACATGGCGAGAAGGGTCCTCGGAGTTAAGTGTTTGTTTCTAAGCTTACTGCGAAGTTGTTTAGCTCAAGCTAA